CGGCTGCCAGGGGGAGGCTCCTAACAGCTACATTCGCGATGATTTTGCAGTCGGCGTTTTTCAGACCCAGAGGGCGTGTATTGGCGGGGGCACGGGCGACAAACGTTGCATCTTCTGGGGCCTCACCCTTGGCGACAAAGACTCCTCGAACATTGTTAAAGTCGAACGGCATCGAGTTCCCCTGCAGGATCCAGGCTAGGGCATCAGCTAGAACAGGAGCTCCAGAAGGATGATGAGCCCAGGCAGCGTAAGGGAGCCCATCCGGGCCAGGAGCACTCTTGGGAAGTCTGCGGATGGCCTGCTGGATTTGCTCGAGATCTGGAGGCCTGATGTTGGAAAAGTCATGTTGGATCCCGAAACGCTCGATATACATCGTGGCCTGGGGCTGCCCGATGGGCTTCTTACTGAAGACTTCCCCCCAATGGTGCGCAAGCTGGTCCAGACACTCCTGCGGATCAGATATGATTCCACCCCCTGGAAGATGGATGCCTTGCAGACAAAGCTGCCCCCCGAAAGGAAGCCAGAGTCGCCCTCGCCGCTCGAGACCTCTAAGCTCACGTCTCAGTCTTGCTTGCACCTTTGCCGGGGACGACTCTCCTGCTTGCTGACGGGAACGCTGAACAGCAGCTTGGTTGAGCCTGAAGTTCAGCTCATTGGTAAAGATCGCGAAGGAATCGGGATCTGTGATCTCGACGGCACCAGAAAGAGGCTGCACTCGAATGAAACGTCTGGCCAGAGGGTGAGAACGTTGGAGTTTTTCCGCAAGCCCACGGCCCTGCTTCCAAACCGCCCCCCCCCCCCCCCCCCCCCCGATAGACCTGGAGGCAAACAGCTGGGCTAAAAGACTTTGAAGTTTACGGAAGACAATGGTGTCCCTGGCAACTCTGGCAGCTTCTTTCATCACAGACTTGTGCAAGGCGAGAATCTCTGGCTGCGTCATCTCGGCGCAGTCGACCTGCCGCAGAACCTGCGAGATAAAGGCCTGATACTCAGGACGCTCAAATACTTCTGGGTGGATCGGGCGGCCCTCAGGGCCCAGTGGCTTGCGGGGACATATGGTCAGGATATGTGCAGCGTGATCAGAAATCGCTTTTCGATGAAGGACCTCGGGGAGGCCGCGGACCTGACTCGAGACTGCCGCCTGCGCAATAGCCCACCCAGGCAAACTGACAAAGGCACGGTCTCTCTTCGAAAGCGCACACTGCGCAGCACAGAAATGCGCGTGGTCCTCTCCCTCCACCTCCACCATGGCAGCGAATACTCTCGCCCACCCCGTACTCCTCCCCCTCCACCATTGTTGGTCACGCGCCACCTCTTGCCTAATCTGATCGCCCCCCGCGGACGGCCCGTCAGCGCGAAGCACAGCAGGGGGCCCACTGGCTAGGTTGAAATCGTCATGCACGATGACTAGGCACTCGCCTGGTCGGGTAGCTGCAGCCTGCTGGTCGGCAAGAACGGACCTGATAATTTCATCCCGAATCTGAATCGATAAACCGAAGTTGTGCATGTTATAATGAATGGCCTGGACATTCTCCCCAAACGTAAGATGTAAACGCAGAGCTCTTCCTCTAGCCAAAATCTGCCGATCCTCTACAGGCGGGAACCGATGACCAAGGTTCCCGAAATCTGGAAAAAAAAAAAAAAAAAAAAAAAAAAAGGTCACCACACCACCTGAAGGGTGACCTGGAACAGCAGGGAGAAACGAGCCGAACGCCTTAAAAGTTTTGCGAGCATTGTAAAGGAAACCGTTGGCCTCGCGCATTGACCCATGAGCCTCTTGGACCCCCACAATAGCACCAGGAACCAGGAGATCCCGAAGATAAGTAAGCTTTCTAGAGCGGGTAGGAAGATCATGGTGGAATAACGCACGGGCATTCCAGGATAGAGAGGAAAGAGGCATCGGAATAGCCGAACGGCCTGGCAGTCCCAGAGGTCGGCCCAGAAGAACCTGACGGACCCGAAGACTTTAGAGGTGAACCCGAGGAGGTCCCAAGCCTGGCAGCCTTAGACGACGAGCCAGAAGACCCAGAAGGAGACCTCGGAGGTCCTGGCGGAGCCCTCGGAGCAGCAGACGCGCAAGAAGACCCAGGAGGCTCTGGTAGCACACGAGGATTGAGAGGAGGTCGCCCCAGTCGGCGCAGAAGGGGACGGAGAACGGGAGGAAGAAGAGGAAGAGTCCGATGAACTCGAAGTCGAGGAAGAACCAGAGGGGGCAGGCGAGGGGACACGCTCAGAGATACGCGCTGCCGAAGCTGGTGGTCGGGATGTGGACGCTCCCGCCCGTGCTCGCATCACCGCGCTAAACGCTCCACTGTGTAGACGTTGTCTGCTGCTGGATCGCGGGTTGGATCGCATTCTCGATCTCAGCTCGATTAGGTCCCAGCGCCACAATGTTCTCGACAGCCCACTCCACGGTAGTCGGTTGCTCTTTGTGCACCACCACCCGAAGTATTGGCTTCCACTGATGGCTGAGTTATCCTCGATGCTTGTTGATGAAGACTTCTCGCTGCGGGAAAGCTTGGATGAATGCACGCTTGATGGCCTTAAGAATGATCTCTGTTCGAACCTGCGCCTGCGACTTGTCAGGGCCAATGTGCAACTCCTGCTGAACTCCAGACGTGTCAGCCACCACGAACCTGCGCCAGTCGTTGGGCCCGCGCTTGAGACACATGAGCGCCTTAGAGGTACGACGGGCCGCCAGACCTGCTTGTCCTCTGAATTTGATGTCGAAGCGCTTCGCCGCGGGCTCTCCGACAATCTCATACTCGGATGGCGGACAGTTGGCAGCCTCCATCCACTCCTGAATAGCGAAATTGACCTGCTCTTTAGTAACCAGCGTGCGGCATCCAGCCACCACAATGGTAGGATTGGGGTCTATGTCGAAGTTCGTGTCAGTCTCCATCTTCGGTTTCTCAGTTCGCATAATGCCGAGGGTGTCCTCCAGCTGTTTGATCCTCGCCTCCAAGGAGTTCGTGTACTGCTCAATCTTATTTTGTCTAACTTCGACCGTTCCCATTCTGCGCTCAACCTGAGACCCCAAACTTGTACACGCCGTCTGCACCGTAGATGCAAGCGAAGATACCTGTGTGCGGATGGCGCCGATGGAATCCATGAGAGACTTCTGAACCTCATCACTATAGTTCTTGAGTTCGTGAGCTTCTTGTTCACCTGGCGGAAATGTCGGAGGCTCCCAGAATTCGCCATCAGCTTCGTCGTATGAGTCGACGGCACCATTTATTTTGCCTTCGGCGGGTGCCTCAGGATGATGAGAAGCACCACCATGCTCAGGAACGGCACCCTGCTGCGCATGCTCTGGCATCGCGTCGTCCTTACAGACCAGTGGTCTGCGAGCGGACAGCCCGTCGCGAAACAAGAGTGTACAGTGGTGACCGCGGGCAAAGCCCCAAGCCGTCGGAGCCAGACAGGCTACAGACGGGCCGGAAGCTAATCGCTGATTCTCGGGCGTCTATAGCCCTTCACAACGTTTAGCCTTGAGCCAAAATGGCTACGGACCTCCTCCTCCTCCTCCTCCTCCTCCTCCTCCTCCTCCTCCTCCTCCTCCTCCTCCTCCTCCTCCTCCTCCTCCTCCTCCTCCTCCTCCTCTCCTCCTCCTCCTCCTTCCTCCTCCTCCTCCTCCTCCTCCTCCTCCTCCTCCTCCTCCTCCTCCTCCTCCCCCTGGGTCAGTTTTTGCTCGCCTCGCGCGACACAGCAGCTCGCTCGCTCGCTCCCCTCCCTGCGCGCCCACGCGCACTCCCGCGGGCGTCGAGTCCGCCGTCGGGGCGCCGAAAACGGGCCGGCACGCCCGCCACGCCCAGCAGAAGCGGCAGGGCCACGGCGGCGGGGGCGTGCCGTCGTCGTGTACAGTCGGCCCGGGGCCAGAAGAGCATCCCTCGAGAGCACGAGGCCCTCCGCCAGCCGAAACACACGGAACCTCCAAGGGCACTCCAAACTTCCGATTAATCAACAAGGAGGGGGGGGGGGGGGGGGGGCACACGTGAAAACGCGGCGCGGCCAACCCCCCCGCTGGCACCACCGTCGCGCCCCAGCGGGGAAGGGATCTCGAACCCCAGATCCCCCCCTGGCACCCCCGCGGACGCGCCGCGGCCACCCCCCCCCCCCGGGGCACTCCAAGGGGGGGGGCGATCATTAAGCGATCCAGAGGACCCTTCCCAGGGTGCACACGAGAGAGCAAAGCACCGAGCACGAAGAGCGCCAGGGTGCAGCCTCCCCGAGCCGACCGACCTCCGTCGTCTGCCCCGCTCCGGCCGCAGGAGAGCTCCGGCGGGTGGCGAGCGCCAGGGCCACAGAAATCGCGACGCGGGCGGCAGCAGCACCACGAGGAGCAGCGGGGGGGGGGGGCCAACTCGGTGGGAGGAAACGCCGACACGGCATGGGCGGCGATGCAGCGCTGACAGATCGGCGACAGGCCGCTTCGCGGAGCCACGCTGCCCTGGGCGGGGTTGGCCGTCGGGCCCCCTGTAGGCGAGGAACGGGCGATTGGGGGCCGATGCATCCCCCCGCCACCACATGAGCCTGTCCACTCCCAACGTTGCCCCCGCCAGCTGGGCCACTGATCGTCAAGGCCACCCGGCGGCGTCGCGTGAACCGCGGCAAGACGTGCAGGTGCGGCATGAATGCTGAGCACCATGCGTCCGAAGAGAACGTCGCAGCAGCAGCCTGGCAGTGCATGTCCTGGTCGCCAATCCGCGTCGCCATAGTATGCAATCAAGTTGATGGTCTAAACGTAGGCCGAACATCCAAAATCGACAACGTCGAAACACCAGATACCGAAGGACACAGGGCCCCAAAAAGGCAGTGCACACTTGCCTGGACAACGTAACCTGCTCCAACAATCAACCGAAATATTGCTTTCAGCTCTCTGCAGTCCCGCCGTACCTCTATTAGTGGGCCGTCTGTTGCAAATCTCTGCCACGTTTCGTCATTGAGTGCACTCCACAGATGGGGGGGCAAACACTGGGCATCATTATTTGGATGGCGACTCAGCGCCGTAATCCGTCAAGCCGGTCGGCATTGTGCCCCGCAGCAGCACAGATGTCCTGCCCATGAGACACTGAACGCGCTTGGAGTGATAAGGACGTAAGTGAGGAGGCAAGTATCAGGGTCGAGCCGCAAATGCTTGACCACGTTACCCCTTCGCCCAAAAATAAAGCGCCCCACAACATTGAGAAAACTGGGCACAAAAACTTCCATACGGATACCGAACCTGCCCGATCGCCTGCCCGGGCAAAGCCGCATGTCATGCAGACCTCTGCTGCATAAGCGAACACGGCCACGAGTGCCCAATTCACCCATGCCGCGTCGTGCCAGGATGGAAAATGAAGCTCATGGAACGCCGCACCGCATCCGCGGGCCTCACGGGAAGGCCAAAGTCTGCAAAATAATGCTCGCAGAAAGATCCCTCGAATCGCACTGTTTATCTTTCTCTCTCCGCCCCTACCTCCCTCACTCCCTCCCTCTCCCTCTCTCTCTCTCTCTCTCTTTCTGTTCGATCCCTCTCTGAAGTGACGTATGTATATCGGAGGTTGGGGGGTAATTCCGACGTGAAACGGAGACCCCCCCAACCTGGAAACCGATTTCGGTTTCGGGTTCGTATCGTGCGTGCCGTGCGTGCGTGGGGGCGAGGCGGAGCTGCGCAGGCGGGCGAGAGGAAATCCTCATGTGGCTGGGCCGCGGCCGGACCAAATGTTGCTCCTCCGGCGGCCGGTGCCGCGCGGTGTCCCGCCGGTGTCCCGCTGGTGTCCCGAAATCCTCCTGTGGCTGGGCCGCGGCCGGACCAAATGTTGCTCCTCCGGCGGCCGGTACCGCGCGGTGACCCGCCGGTGTCCCGCTGGTGTCCCGTGGTGTCCCGTGGTGTACTGTGGTGTCCCGCTGAGTGAGATCGATCGTGAGATCGATAGTGAGATCGATAGTGAAATCGATACTGAGATCGATGTGGTGCCACGAGGTGTCCCGTGGTGTCCCGTGGTGTCCCGTTGAGTGAGATCGATCGTGAGATCGATAGTGAGATCGACAGGTGTCCCGTGGTGTCCCGTGGTGTCCCGTGGTGTCCCGTGGTGTCCCGTTGAGTGAGGTCGATTGTGAGATCGATAATGAGATCGATGTGGTGCCCCGAGGTGTCCCGTGGTGTCCCGCTGAGTGAGATCGATAATGAGATCGATAGTGAGATCGACAGGTGTCCCGAGGTGTCCCGTGGTGTCCCGTTGAATGAGATCGACAGTGAGATCGATCGTGAGATCGATACTGAGATCGATGTGGTGTCCTGAGGTGTCCAATGGTGTCCGATGGTGTCCCGCTGAGTGAGATCGATAGTGAGATCGATAGTGAGACCGATAATGAAATCGAGAGGTGTCCCGCGGTGTCCCGTGGTTACCCGTAGTGGCCCATGGTGTCCCGTGGTGTCCCGTTGAGTGAGATCGATAGTGAGATCGATACTGAGATCGACAAGTGTCCCGTGGTGTCCCGTGGTGTCCCGTGGTGTCCCGTGGTGTCCCGTTGAGTGAGATCGATAGTGAGATCGATTGAGTCAGATGTTGATTCCCCCCCATCTCCCCCCCCGCACAACCTCCTTATCACCCGAAGGGTGGTCATATATACACACACACACACATCGTGGGCACAAAAAGAAAGAGAGAGAAAGAAAGAGAGAGGGCGGGAGAACAAACTAATACAAAGAGAGAGAGAGGGAGAAGCAAAAAAGGAGGGAGCGAAGGGAACGGAGGCGAACGGTACCTGAGGGAAGGCGATAGAGAAGGGGGGGGGGGGGGGGGGAAATTCGAGCGGACGGAGAGCGCACGTGGAGCGGCGAAGGAGAAGGGAATGGACGGGGGGAGGAGGATGGGTATGGCAATTTGAGAACGACTTAGCGTCGTGATGCGAAACATTGTTTCATAATCTGTTCGTTATCATTGCGTTCGCCGCCGGCCTCCCCGTGATCTTCTCAGAGATCCTTCGCGGTGCACCCAGTCTTCTTTTCCGGCGAATGATGGCGCACGTGCGCGGAAAGCATCTTTCTCGCGACACTGGCGCGCGGACGCCAAGCAGAGAAAGCAAGAACAACTCGGTGGAGGCACCGCTGAGTAGACGAGGGCGTTCCACTACTCGCAACGTAGCTACTCGCAGATGGCCCGGATCCGCCACAGGGGACCTACGGCAAAATACATCAGAGCAGACATGTGTTTGTGGGACGTTTGCGAGTACAGGCGGCCCGGATTAGTAGGTCGACCCTGCCAAGTCAAGGGTACCCCTGTGTCCTGTGTCTCGCGACCAATGCCTCCTGCATTCCTGTGGCGCTGTGGCCCTCGGAAGGGCCTCGTGTAACCAGCCTCGAACGTATCCCTATCCCTAAGATGGGCGAGCAAAAAGCGAGGACAATCTTAGGGATAGGCCCTCAAAAACTGAGGTAATCCTTAAGATCGGCATCGAGGTGAGGTGATGTCAAACATAGGGATAGGGACATGTTCCAGGCTGGGCCTCGTGCCCTCTCGCGTGCCCTCTCTCCCATCGAGCCCGACTCCAGGCACTCTGCGAGTAGCGAAACCTCGCTCGGCGACCGAGGGGGCCCAAGCCAAGAGGCGAGAGGCAACCGGACAAGAGCCGTCGCGCGCGGGGCCGGGCGGGGCGCCCTCCCGAAGCTCCACACACACACACACACACACACACACACACACAAAAAAAAAAAAAAAAAAAAAGGGCGGGCGACGGACGCGGAGCTGCTCGGGGCGGACCGCGGCCCACCGAGGCCCCGAGAAGCGGCCTCGGCAGCGGCCTCGCCGGGGTCGCAGCCGAGCAAGAGCGGCGGCGGCCAGCAGCGCTCGGGCCAGAGCAGGTGGGGAATCGCGCTCTACACACAGACGTTTCTGTGCGGCCCTGCACGGACCTCTGCGCAAGAAAGCGGAGCCTGGTGTGTACGGGACCCTGGTGTATACATGTTCCCATGCTTCCTGGGGAAACGGGGAAACAAGTATACACTACACCACCCCGACGTCGTCCTCGACCCTCAAAAAGTCCTGGGATTGGAAGACGGCCGCCACTGGTAATGTATAGGCTCCAGTTTCCGAGCAGGGTCAGTATCAGCGCGTGGCCACTGTAGGCCGGAAGTGGCCATACAGCTTCCCGCCAGAGCAAGGACTGTTTCCTCAGCGAGATGAACCAATGACCCGCTGTGCGGCCCCAAAGCTTTGCAGAGGCAAGCTGCATCGAGGCAGGAGGAGTCTGTCACGGGAGACCTCTTGGAGGTTATGAAATTGCCAAAGGGCCCACCAGAGCCAGGGAAGCGGCCACGCGCGGGGAAACCAAAAGTGCCGAGGCCGCCCCTCCCCGGACCTCTCCCGGGGCGCGTTCTGACCAGGATGTCGAGGCGAACCTGGCCGTGGCGACGAGAGCCTCCCGGTGCGGGTACCATTTTCTCCTCCGCATGCTGGGACCATCGGGGCTACAAGTCGGTCGTCGTGCTCCCACAGGGAGCGCCGAATGCGGCACGAGAGGGGCGCCACGGGGGGGCCCTCCCTGACCACGGTGCGCCTCGGCCACGAGCAGGAGTCCCCCCGGCCCAGATCTCGGGGAACGGCCCGCAGACCCGAGACCCTCCCGAGCCCGAAGTGGTCCTCGCTACAGGGCCTCGAGTGCAGGAATGGGGCACTCAACTCGCGAAATCGCGATCGGATCGCTGAAGCCTGCCGCAAGTAGTGCGATCGAGATCGGAATGGGGCAATCAAATCGCGAATCGCAAATCGCAAGTAAGGCGGGCCTGCGCTGACACGAATCGCGAAAGCTGGATCGGATCGGAAACGCATCGGATCGCCGGCGAGCCGTCCCGAGTGAAGATCGGCCTCGGATCGCCGCGGCCGGCTCCCCCTATCTCAGCGTCTGGGCTGCACGCGCGCCAGGGAGGGGGTCAACGCACCCTACCTGGGTAGGGTGGGTGGGTTGCCGGGCTTTTTCACCCCCGCACTCTTGACCTCTTGCTGCCTTGCTCGCGCGCTGCACGGCACGCGCGTGGGACACCGCAGCCTCTTGGCCCAAAGAGGACCTAGAGTCCGAAACGCGTCGCCAGCTAAAAGTGGTTGAGATCAATAATTTAGTGCGGGCGCGGCCGCAAGAAACCCCCGCAAGAAACCCAACCCTGAGAACCCGTGCGCGAGGTGCACCTGAGGGGAAACCCGGAGCACCCTGAATGCAGCGGCTCCTCCAGCGGCTGCGGGAAGCCGCCGCGCAGCGCGAGGAGCGAAGGAGCCCAGGATACCCGGACGAAGAGCACGTGGCTTCTTGCTGCGCGCCGCGCCCCCACTGTACACCAAAAGTGTTTCGATGTTCGACTTTGCTCAGCGCTTCGAGACTTAGGGGGCCACACGCGAACCCTACCCCTACCCCCCACGATTTCTGAGGGGGAGGGTGGGGTTCACTTCGTTCGGGAGGTCACGAGCGAAGTGAACCCCACCCTCCCCCTCAGAAACCGTGGGGGGCAGGGGTAGGGTTCGCATGTGGCCCCCTAAAGGCTGCACGCCGTCGCAGCCCAGCGCAGTCTCACCGACGCACCGCAGGTGGCCGCGCGCGGCCGTGCGGCGCCGGGCACGCCAGGGCGAGGCTCCGCCGGCGCAAGAGGGCGGGCGGCCCCTGCGGGGCCCGTGGGAGCCTGCCGCGGGTGGCGTCTGGCTCGCCATCGCTCGGACGTCCATTCCCTGTGTTTTTGTTCGGTTTCGTGTATGGTTTTTTCGCCAAATGATCAAGGATGCTCCTCGATTGTCCTCGCCGAAAGAAAAATCCACACGTCCGAGCGATGCCAAGCTGGTGGCAGGGGCCGGCGGAGGGCCACGGCGGGGGCCTCCGAGGACTGGGTCTGTGGATGCCGCGGCAGTGGGCACCCTGACAGTCCTTAAAATGTCGGAAGCATGTTCTGGGCATGTGTTTTTCGGGGATGGACAGAACCCCCTTTAGCAAAACGTGGTTTAGTGAAAACGACCTCGGGCCCAAATCTGGCGGGCGAAAGCCTGGAAACTGACGGCCACGGCGCCCTCTCGAGAACCGAAAACGGACAATTCACTAATCGACGTGTCACTATTGGGGGTTCTGTCCAGCCCCGAGTTTTACATGTTTGAAACATGTTTGAATGGCGGCAGGGGCCGGCCGAGGGCCACGGCGGGGGCGTCCGAGGACTAGGTCTGTGGATGCCACGACAGTGGACACCCTAACAGTCCCAGCATGTCGGAGACATGCTCTAGACATCATGTGTTGAACATGTTTCTTACATGTCTGAAGCATGTTTAACACATGTTGGGCATCTGGAAATCATTCGGCAGCATGCTTCTTCCTCTCCATGAATCGACGTCCGCAAGACTAGATCTACATCTGTGCCTCGTAGACTGTTTTGGCTTACACCTTGACCTCGCAGGGAACCTCCCGTTTTTGTGTTGCCTCGCATCTATACTTCGTGGATCTAGACTCCAGACTAGAGCCAGCACCCCGAAATCCTGGCGAGGCAGGGTGGGGCTGATGTCAGGGAACAGCGGGGTGGCAGAAGCAAGCGGGGGGGCGGGGCCCAGGAATCCGAAACGGCAGGCCGCGGTGTCCGACCTCTGCTGGCAAGCGGATGCCGATCCGTCAAGGCGTTGCTGAAGAATTCCGAAGGAAATTCCAGCTTGGACCCGAAAACAGACGACACCGCACCACCCGCGGCCCCACGGGGCTTAGCGTATACCAGGAGATGTGGCTTGGGCGTTTTCTGCGTGGTATGCGCTGCGGCCCCCGATGGGCCGCAGCGCAACATGGAGGGCCGTAGGTGGGGCGGTGTCGCTTGCTTTCTGGTCGACAATTCTGCCGGCTCTGAAGCTGTGACAGCGCTGCGTGCTGCAGCCCGCACGAGCCGGCGCCGCGCGGCCGCGCGGCCGCGAGCCGCTTCCGGGCGATAGGAGGCGGACGGCAGGGGCCGGAGGCCTGGAGATGCTGCCGACAACGACAGGGATCCCAAGAAGAACGTGTTCAGCACCGTGTAGTACGGCACATCGCGCAGGGCTCGCAGCGACACGCAGACCAATGCAGCCAAGACTGCCGAGGCAAGGATCGCCAGGTATCCGGACGCCTTGCCAGAGTCCTGGCTCTCCCAGGGGCTGATTTCCAGCGTCATGCCGGCAACACAAGCCATCATGCACACGAGATCGGGGATGCGTAATGGTTGGCCTAGGAGGATAGCTGCCCATAGCACTACGAAGACAGGGCTTGAATACAAAATCACAGAACTCGTCGAAAGAGGCAGACGGCCCATTGCATAATATTCGAGAATCACACATCCGAAGCCTGCCAGCACCCTGACAAGGAGCCAGGTGAATGAGCGACCGCATACCGAAGGCGTGCTGGTCGTCTCCACGAGGCGTCCCCGACTGGCGGCAAACTGCCTTCCCAGACAGATAACTGCGGCGTTCAGAATGAGGCCCAAGTAGCTCCGCACCACAAGCAAACTGAAAGAAGAGGCGACCGAGTAGCGCCTTGTGATCTTCACGAAGAGCCCCATCAGGGAGAAGAAGAAAGAGCCACCGCCCACGAACAAGCAAGCTGAATGAAAGTGATGCCCTCCTCCAGCAACCTGAAGCGCACACCATAGCGTAGAGCATTACTGGGTGTTATGTTCGATCGCTCGTGTTGGAACGCCAGCGGACATCCCCGCGACGTGGCGGAGCTTGCCCAGGGCTTGAGGAGGGGACCTATCCGATCTCGCCTCGCCCACGCAACAACGAGTCCCGACCCCCACGCCCAAAGCTCTACTGTCGAGGAGGAGGAGGAGGAGGAGGAGGAGGAGGAGGAGGAGACGTTGAAATGAAGACCATTTCGGGTTTTGGGCGGGGCTAGGGCTTTCGGGCCGTTCCTTCGATGAGATATGGCTCGGGAAGGCTATTCGTGGCCAAAGCTCGCCGTAGCCATAAGAGCCCCTGCATTCCGCATCCCACCAGCCCTCCGTGCAGAGGTGTTTAAGAGCGTCTCCCCTTCCAACCCCCTTCTTCCTCCTCGGAGAGGGGTTGACACTGTTCCTTTACAATATGCACCCACTCCCCACCCGACCGGCGACAAACCTGGGACACTTGGGGGCCCCCTCCCGCCATCCAGATCAAGAAAGTGCGAAGTGCGCATCACGACAACATGTGGACCGTGCACGGGCGGCACGTGAGCACTTTGCATGAGGTTGTGCGAAGGTTTTGACGGGGACAGCGGGGGTGCCATCATATTGTGCGCTCTACGCACGCCGGCCATCCCTGTCAAAACACATTGCAAAATACACTGTGCGGCAAAATGTGGACCGCGCGCGGGCGTCCCATCCATGATCACTCTGCATTGGTTGTTGACCGGGACGGCGGCCTCAAAATGTCCGCACTGCGCAGACCCACCATCCCTCACCACGCAATGCAAAGCACACCGTGTGGCAAAAGCTGGATCGTAAGCGGGCGCCCCGCGATCACTTTGCACTGGTTTCTGACAGGGACGGCGGGGGGGGGTATCAAAATGTCTACCCATGAACTACATGTTAGGTCGGGCGTGTCCTACTACAGGCAGATATTGTGAGAAAAATTGCAAATACTCCAAATATATTCAAAAGTAGGCATTTGTTTGGTTTTCTTTTTTGTTATTAACAAATCATCAGGATATATATATATAATATATATATATAATAAAAAAAAAAAAAAAAAAAAAAAAAAAAAAAAAAAAAAAAAAAAAAAAAAAAAAAAAAAAAAAAAAAAAAAAAAAAAAAAAAAAAAAAAAAAAAACGCCCGGTAGAAAGACATGCCCGACTGAAACTCTAGCCCACTCCCGCTGCGTCTGGGTAGCGGCGCGATCAGAACGTCCGAGATAGCCGGCCCCTAGAGGGCCTCAGAGCGCCCAAGATGACCCCCAAGAGGGCTCAAGATGCCTTAAGCTGGCTCGAAATGGCTTCCAACATGCTCCGACAGGCCGCAAGACCGCCTCGAGACCGCCCCAAGACGGTTTCGAAAGGCCGAAACCATAAAAACATGAAGGGGATCGTTCTTGCGTTCTCGCCTATTCGCCTTCGATGACCCTCCGATGCCTCAGGATGGCTCCAAGATGGCCGAAGAGGGCCCCAAGGAGTCCAAAAGAGCCTCAAGACGGCTCCAAGAGCGCCCACGAGTCCCGCAAGAGCACGCCAAGAGGACCCCAAGATGGGACTTTCGGACCCATCGAGGGGGGGCACAAATTGAGCACCCCCCATCTTTGATCGAACTCTTCCAAAATGGCCCACGACGGTCAAATTCGCCCAAGATGGCCTCCAACATGCCTTCCAATCAAGAGGCCCCAAAAGGGAGCCAAAAGGCCCCAAGGGGCCTCAGCGCCCCCTAAGAACGCCCCCAAGAGGGACGACGTCCTCAGTTTTTCGTGCCACTGCACGTTCCCCCACTTTCCTGATCAAGGCAACTCGCCTGTGCATCGTTGCTGGATGGGTTGGTCGGGATATTGTTTTGGTCAACAGGCTGGCGAGGCGGGTCGAAAGCCGTCCGGACACTAGTCGGGCCGCGACCAGGCAGCAGGAAAAAAAAGCAAGCGAAGCGAGCGAGCGGGCAGCCATTCAGAAAGAGAGCCAGAAACGATACTCCCAAACCTGGTGGCGTTAGAAATCCCGGTGGCGACCGGCAAGTAAGCGCAGCCAAAATGGCGCGGCGGCGCGACCACACGCAGAGGTCGATCGCTCGGTGTGAATCCGAAAAACAGCACCGTCAGAGACGAACTGGCCGACAGGCACACCCAGACGACATCCGTGAAGTAGGCGACGAAAATGCAAGCATCGCGTCGGCGCGAGGGTGAAGAGGGGCAACCTCATCACCGACAAGACTGTAAACGGCAGTAAAACCTGTAACACTCGTCGAAAGCGAAGTCCATGCAGGAGAACGTCGGCCAACGAGCGTACAGAGCCACACTTGCCGAACCCGAGGTCCAGGCACCGTAAGGTAGGCAATGTAGCGACAGACCCACTGGAACCTGCCGGTCATCAGTAGGGGCCGACACCAGCCAGGAGCAGGCCAGGGGGCACCTGACCTCCGCGAATGCGACGCAGCACCATTCCCAGCGTGAGTCCTTGCATGAAATCCAGACCACCTGAACGCAATCAGGAAGCAGTATTGGGCAGCAAACCCCAGTCGCCAGGGAAGAACCCTGTGAAACATGAGGGAGAGCACCCCGGCGCAGCAGCTGCCGCTGTGGCATAAGGTTGCAGGAGGAGAGGAGGGGAAGTGCACGCCAGGCACGTTAGGCCCCCCGGTGTGGCAGCTAACCGCTGCAGCATTAGGATGCAGGAGGGGGGGGGAAGGAAGTGCACGCCAGGCACACGGTGTGAGAGGAGGGGGGAAGAAACAAATACTCGAGCAGTTGATGCTGACTGCGCCAATCGTGGCTGCGCCATGTTGCCCGCGCTGACTATGCCAAACCTGACTGTGCCAGCCGTGGCCATGCCAACCATGACCGTACCAAATAAGCCCCTGTGAAAAGTGAGCGCTCACAACGACACTTGCCGAACTCGAAGTCCGCGCACCGTAACTGTCAGCAGTGCATCGAAATCCCACTGAACCCTTTCGGCCATCAGCAGGGGGGCGGCGCCAGCCTAAGGCAGCCAGTGGGCACCTCGCCGACCACTCCCAGTGCGAAACTTTGCGCGAGATCCACGCTGACGGAGCACCATCCGACAGCGGCATTGGCAGCAACCCCAGCCGCGAGGAAAGATCAGAGTAAAACAAGAAACGGAGAGTCAGCTAACCGCTGAAGCAAGAGGAGAAGAAGGAGGAGAGCTCACCATCATCCTGCGTACACTAACGCGCATGCCAGGCGCCATGCATCGAAGCTTACCACAGTAAACCCGCCACTGGCACCAGCTTGTCGTTGTTCTCCACTAGAATTTCCGGGAAAAGCTGGGCTCGTTCAGCCGCGAAATAGCGTGCAATCACGGATGACGAGGTCTTCCAATGGGCTCGCACACCGCCCCATATGCGACAGCGGGCGCAGGCAATGCAGGCCCCCTTGTTTAGCCACGCCCTAGTTACTGCAAGAGCCCGCAAGGAGGCGCCGTCGATGAAACATTCCGGGCGCTCTTCAATGGGACGCTCGGCAGGGACAGTCACGGTGGGCTGCCAGTCTGAAGCCGCCACGCAGCCGCAGTGACTGCGTAGGAGGCAGAAAGAGGAGGGGAGCAGGGGAACGCAGGCAACCGCCGCATGCATAGGAAAGAGAGTTAACAGTGCAGACGCGTGGCGCTACTAGGTACACCACATACCCGGTGCGATGTCAAAACTGCATCACAGCGAAACTGGGTGGTGCCCCACACTCGGTGTTACTGTCGACACCGTCTCTCGGTCCATGGGCTCTCGGTTGCCCGGCCCCCCTTCCCAGCCTTGCCCGGCGAATCGGGTCCGTCCTTCGCCTTGCCTCTCCCCTTGCTCGGGCGCTCTCCCGCCGAGTGGAACCTGGCGGCGGCGGCCCCGCTGCTGCTGGCAGCGCCTGAGCTGGAGGCGTCACTGACTGCCGTGACCCTGTCAGCTGGGCTGCGAAAGTTGGCCTCAGCGCGCGTGAACGGCACACGTCGTCGCCTGCAGCGCCCCGCGCATGGATGAAATTTCGGCGCACGCCTGGCGGCTGCAGTGCCGGGTCGAAAGTCGGCTGGGCGTTAGCGCGGCAGGTCTTGGCACGGCGTGCAACCCACGGGTCGCTAAACATGCTGCCTAGCTCCCTCTGCGCCCTGGAGACGAAGGCGCCGTCGGACCCCCGGGGGTATTGTGCGTCGATCGTGCGCAGTGGTGCCTTGTACATATTGGACCCGTCGTTCTCCTTGGGCTCGTGGATGGTCAGTGGGTCATTGGAGAAGGGCGCCCATTTGCCACGATTGAATATCCCGTCATTTCCCGTGCGCTCGTTCTGGATAACGCCAGACGCCATCACGAGACTGCGTGGCCCGGCGGTCTGAAGACCTGTCGCAACTCCACTCGCCCCTGTGTCCGCGCGAGGAACCAGTCCTGTAATCGGCGGCGTGCTGAATGGGAGCGTCTCGTTGTTCCCGCCTGCCGCTCTGTTCCCTGCCTCGCACGTTCCCTTTTGGTGACGCTGAGTACGGCGGATCTCGCCTCCTCGGCAGCGGGGGTCTATCGTCTGCGGCGCTGGATGTTTCATCGTCAGCAGTCCTGGGGTTGTGACCATCCCCTGTAGCTGGGCTTCCTCCAAGCTCTTCTGCCTCGCGCGCTTCAGGCCCCTCGCTGGCCTTGCTCAGGTCATAGTCCAGGAGATCGCCGCCCGGGCCCCGGCGTTCCTCTGTGGCAGCAGCGGGCTCGCTTCCTGAGCTGCCCCTGATCTCTCTTGTAGCTCTTCGTGGACCTTCAGGTCGGGACAGCGGCCGCCCGCTGAAGTCCGCGCCAGGGCGGGCAGGAAATAATTGCCCCCCGAGAGAGGCGCCCATGACCACGCTGACCAAGGGGCCCAGACTCTTCTCCTCATCGCGCATTCGTTGGGAGCCCGGGTCGCACAGGG